ATCCATCTTCAGGTCTCTAAAAGACAGAAGTACCTTTGGAATAAGGTGCTAATGTTGCTTATGCAAAAATGCATTCACTAATATACAAGAAAAGCACAAAACAATCATTTACTTCTAAACGACAAACAGGTGAGAATCCATTTACACGTATCAACAGAAAAGCACAACATAATGTAGTGAAGAAGTGATAGGAACATCSTTGAAAAACATTATAAAGTGCAGGCCACTTATTTGGAGGCAGCGGTGTGAAATTAAAATGCAAGTGTGCCACTTCATCAGCTCAGGGGCCTCACAGGGAGAGACAAGATGCAAGTGAAAAGCTCCCTGTATTCACAGAGAGCAAATCCAATTAAAAGAAGTCAAAGAAAAAATATGCTGATCTTGTGCTCCTTTCACCTATATATATATATATATATTATATATATATATATATATACTTCCTGTATGGCTGAGATATGACTAGGGTAAGACATTTACCTTGGCCTGTAGACGGAGTTCAAGATTCTGCTCGGTGATGAAGGTGCAGTTTTGGTTTAATAGGCATTAAATTTAAAATCCGCAGTTAGAAAGTGGAAAATACTTCTCGTCAGTACAGCATCCAAAAATATAGCGGGAACCTGCATCCATGTGCAATTCCTTCTGGAACAAAGTGGTGGAAAATAAAGTGTATACTTCTTGGCTCCTTCATTCCTTCATTGCAGGTAAGCGGTAGGAAAGTACTGCAGCCAGCCACAGGGAAAACCAGTTAATTAGAAAATAAGATGTAATGCACAAAATGTTTCATTGTGTTTGGAAATATTGGCCTATAGCAAATCAGCAGTTTGAAGGAAACAACTTAAAGAAAAATTATAAAGGAATAAAGACAAAGTATTTAAAGCCTTTATATTTTATGAACTACATAGCAGATTCTTTTTAGAACACTGATCATGTAACCAACCTTTCCTCCATTTGTTCTACAACAGATCAGATGGCAAATAAAAAATGTCTGTCCTTGTTTCTAATTTTCAGGACAAGGGGGAAGATGAATGTTGCCTCGACATCTACAGATTAACAGACAGGAAAAGGACGGGAACAAGGAGTCACGACCTCTGGAATCATCCCCAATGCGTCCAGAGGATATGAACCTCCTCGGCTTCCCACCTCGGCCTGACCCCCGTCTGGACTGCTCATATATTTCAAGGAAAGCAAAAACCTCTTGGCCCTGTGGATGTGCCTAAGTGACTATCCCATCCAGGAAGTAAACAAACCCTGAGAGAGAGAGCGAAATGGAACATCCAAGAACAAACACACAAGCAGGGTTTAGTTGACTACCTGGGTCCCCAAGGAGCCAGTAAACGTTCCAATTTCTGCTTTCTCCATTAGGAATGATTTTCCAACTTCCTGTTACTAATCCTGCACACACAGCTGGTAATAAATTGCCCATTGCCATATTTCATATGAACCAAAAACATAAATAGACCAATAAATTAAATTCAGCAAGGAAAAATGCAACAAGATTAACGTGATAAACAAATTGTTTTAATTTGCATCTTGTGATGTTGTTTTTCAACAAGCGCAACAAGAGGGGATTTAGCAGGCTTACAATATAAAACCAAGTTAATTCCCTTTCGATTGATGTGAGGGAATAAAAAATGTTTTAAACATTATCGTCACATTATACAGGCTTTTGTTGGAGGAGGGGGCAGCAGCTGAGGGACCACTTAATGCACTGCAGAGCCCTTAGGAATATATTAAGTTAACTTGTGGCTCAGATCTTCTTCCAAAAGCAAGACATAAAAGGTTCCTCTATTGAAACTTTTTTTGCTCTCTCACTATTAAGTGTTTAAAATACAAGCAAATGGTTTTCAGTGTTTCTCTGTGAATGGTTCAGGCTGAGAAAATGTACTTCCTTTGGCAGCCAAAAACTACAGAAACGCCCATTAAAAGTGTCTGTTTTACATTGAGCCTAGTTTTGTTCAACTGTTAAAATTAACTGTCACTTTATCGGCCCGAGGCAATCCTAGATAAACAGCAGCGTCCACCGCCGCCCACCATCCCCGAGCTATAATTGTTCATTATGTAAGAGATATATCGGAACGTGTCCCCTGTGACTTCCTTTTTCTGAGAGATTTATCGAAGATTCAGAATTAAAACTGGACYGAAAAGCTAAAAAAAAGCTAAAGAAAGCTTAACAGACGTCAAGTTTTCCAGTGTCCACACCTTGAAGATGCAATCTGCACAAGGGTCTATACTTGGACCACTGTTATTCAGCCTATATATTAATGAACTCCCATAGGTCTGTGACAGTGTAGATATCCAACTAAACGCAGATGATACTGTCATCTATGTACATGGTAAGAACAAAGATGAAGTTGCTTCCAAATTAACAGATGTCATGGTAAAATTAGCCACTTGGCTTAAGCATGTCTGCCTCCAATTAAATGTTTCTAAAACAGTTGGCATGTATTTTACTAAACGACGAGAAAATACACCTGACCCTGACATATCTATTTTTGGAGAGATCACATTGGTCAAGCAATTTAAATATCCTGGGATTTTGTTTGATACAAATTTATCATTCAAACCTCACATCAAAAAGATAACAAAAATACTTAAATTTAATCTAGCAAATTTAATTCGGCTGCAAAAACTTTTATGAATGCTATGATCTTTTCTCACATCACTTACTGTTTAACAAGTTGGGGACAAGCAAACTCATCAACTCTAAAGCCTGTGGAGATACTTTATAAACAGACATTAAAGATCTTAGATTTAAAAAATCTGTAGGATACCATCATTGTAAGATTTTAACAAAACATTTGTTGAGCTGGGAAAATATGATTACATTTGTAAACAATTTTCTAGTTTTTAAAATTCTGCATGGTCTTGCACCTCCTCCACTTGAAGCACTTGTCACGTTGTTGTCGGTAAGGACCACCAGAGCTACTGTAAGAGGAGATCTTGCTGTACCTTTTAGACGAAGTACATTTTATCCATTTTGTATTTTTTATGTATTGTCTTGAATTGTTGTTGTGCTAAATGGCTTTTTATTATTTTTAATCATGCTTTTTGTCATATTTTTAGGACCTTTTTAATGAAAGTAACTTGTTGTTTTGTATGTATTGCATTTATAACCATAGGACCTTGAGGGACTACAGATAGCCTACATGGATAATTCTGGCATTTTCTGTAATATGCACTGTCCCTTCTTAAATAAATAAACGACAACAACACATTTTCCCACAGAAAGAGAACACAATAGTCTCGGTCCGTCCAGGGATAAAAATCACTCTAATCATCTCCTGTTTTCCACCTGAATGCTAGATTATGTGTTTAAAGGGAGTATTGTGCTCGAGTCCCATAGATCAGCAGAGGCAATCTCTGCTCTTCAGTTCAGCTCTGCCAACTGACCGGGGGCCTCATTGTTCTGCAGCATTTCCGAATCTCAGAGGAATTCCTCCRGCAGGAAATATGGTTTACAAGCCGCGGCAATCGAGCCCCGTAGCTCACAGGGAACGCTGCTTTTACCCTTCGCCCTCCTGGCACAATCTGCTCTGTGATCGGCCTTTTCCCTCATCACCCTTCTGGCAACTTCAAGCCTGTTTCTCTCAATGCTGGGTTAACCCACCCAGGAGTCAAATGTTCTGACCTCTAGACACATAGAGGGTGTTTTGTAACCGCTTCTTGTTTAAGGGGGTCCCTCAAGCAGCCTTAAGTCCTCATTATGACCCCCTCTACACGGCAGGACGACTCTTTGATCATCCGTCTTCCACACGACTCCCTAGGATATCCAAGAAGCAGATAAGAGCGACTCTTGGGCTCTCGTATTCCTTATCTAGATCACCATCAAGGCCTATCAGCTACAACCACAGCTAAACCAATCTTTTGTTGTTAGATCTAAATCTGATGCTTCCATACAATCATGCCTGACCAGAACAGAAGGGCCCTAAAAGGATCAGCCACCTCTGAAATGAAACCCAGTCCCCCTCCTGCAGGGGGCACATAGGGAGCTCAATCCCTCATTCTCTACAAAAGCTCCATCCTTCCTAAATGTTCCCCTCTACTGGAAACATCTGGAAGGTGGTGGCAGAGGGTCTTACGGGGAAATAACACTCTTAGGAACACAATGTCTCGACAAACTTCCTTCCCTGCAAAAGTTCGAAAAGAAAAAAAAATTGTACAGTTGTCCACAAGCATTCTGCTTCAATCCGTTTCACTCCCGCCTCTCTTTGAAGTTCGGTGAGGGTTTCTTTTTTATGCAACGCCATTAAAGTGACAGCGCCTGACTCCTCCTGCGATGCAACAGCCAGGTGTTTCCCTGCTGGAGATGCAGTGCCGAGACCCGCTGCTTCTCATTGGAGCCCACCTGTGCCGTCTTTTGGCAGAACTCGGGCCACGTGGATTTGATGAGATGTGAAATGCACTGTTTTTTCTTTTAATGCCGTTGAGCAAGTGGTGTAATTATGGGATGCAGTGCTGCACAAGACTGGAGTGACACATTTACACTGCATGTGTCTTTTTTGCAAGGCTCCAGGATGAATTTCAGCTCGTTGCTGCAATCATTTGAGCCTTTTTTTTGTCGAATATTCAATATTTATGGTGTTATGTTACAAACTATTATCATATGTGGCACAACTGTAGAGTTTATGGGTGTTATGTGCCACAATGAGAACCTCAAGCATCCCAAGAGAGCAGGCTGTGGAGAGGATTAACTGCTTCTTTGTGACTCTTCTTCCAATTTCACACTTGCAAGCTGTAAAAAGGTTAAGATCTTCATCAGCAGAATAGATTCTGATAGAGATACTGCTCACAGGACAAAGACACGCAGAGATGGAAAAGGATCACCCTTCTCTGCAGGCTGGTGCATCATGCATACTAAAGCAAGTTTTTATTTATTTATTTATTTATTTATTTATTTATTTATTTATTTATTTATTTATTTTATTTCAGGTTGAGGACATTTAGTAGTAGGGTAAAACTGCATTTAGGTCCGTTTAAGCACATTTCCAGGCAGCACTCACCGAGAGAAATTCCAGCGTTCCAACATAATCCCGTTCCGTTTTTAAAAGTTCATTCAAGACACAAACTCGCAACCGGAGCTGCTTGTCCAGGTCCTTCCCGCTCTCAGCCCTGTGTTCACTCCTGCTCTCCTCAGTCATTGTGCGCTTTATAAATTTAAAAAAGAGAGAGAGGGAGAACGTTATTTTTCCTCCTGCAGTTTACAGGTTCACATCACAGGCAGCAGGCTTTCAGATGCGACGGTGGAGAGTTCGCAGCATGTTCAAAAGCTCCCAGGAGCAACCGGTGTCTGTGCTTCAACAAGTCCACAAAATGTACAGAAATGAAGCCAAAAAAAAATAAGATTTTTTTTTTAAACAAAAAAAGTTTCAAAACTGTGGAGAACTCCTTCTCTCTGAAGGGACTAAAGTTTAAAGTGAGTCCCAAAAGTCTTCATCCTACTCCTGCGTCCCGACAAGTCTTTAAAAGTAGAGTACCAGAGTCAGGCTAGCTTAAAATACGAACATTAACTTCCGGTTGTTTTTATCAAAGTAAAAGCATGACAGGAAATAATGATGCTATTTTATTTTTACTTTTTTCTATTAAAATGTAAGAAAAGTGCTGGTGTATAAATGAGGACTGCATTTCACTTTTTAGATATCAGTTTTGAATTAAAATGTAAAAACTCAACTTGTGTGTGTAATTTATTGCTTCCGGAAGTACTGTACAGTGCAGTAGCTCCATGTAACTTGACACATCTGAGTCCTGTTCGGCAGCTGGTTTCCAAACATTCAGGTTCTTCTGTCCAATCAAGCAACAGTAGAAACTGTGACCCCAGTTGTTTTTAGTTTTAGCTGAAAACCACACAAGCATTAAAAAACGACAGGACTAACAACCTGAACGGCAGTTTTAATCACTTAATGTATGTTTTATTATTATTATTATTATTATTATTATTATTATTATTATTATTATGGCAAAAAGTGCTATTAGAATCCATTTTAAAGATTTATTGACAATACTTAATTTTCACCTTCCTGAAACAAGATTAGATCACAAAACAGCCATAATTATGTAGCTTTATCAGAGTGCAGCTAGGCTTCTATAATAAATTCGTGCACAATAGAAAATCTAAATAAATTGACAGAATAGGAAGGACCTTTATTAGGTTCTTATGGTGTAAAAAAAAAAGTCAAAGCACTTTTAAAAATTCTGTTTTTTATACCATCTATTTTTCCCTCCTGGTTTTTATATTTGATAAACTGCTGTTGATCATTTGGCACAACATCTGTCCAATGTATTCTCTGAATAAGAAATATTTTAATGCACATTTGCTGTTGGGTGTCAGTAGACGTTAAACAGAAAACCGAGCAGGGTCTGAATTATTGAACACTTTCTTAACAGATTAATAAGGGTGCACAGATCATGTCAACAAAAGGGGATGATAAAGAAAAACACTTTTTGAACACTTTGACATAATTTAAACATTTGCTTCTTACATAAAACTTTTCTATGACTAAAGCTTTGATTATTTAATTTATAAAATTTTTTTGTAATTTTCTTCTTAATGTGGGACACACTTTAATCCACAGGTAAAGAGATAATAAATGAATTGCATTGCTCTCTGTGTTAACGTCCAACTCTTACCTTAGCTCCTCTGGTTCTCCACATCTCACAGCTGTTTGTCTTCTACAATCAGCTCACCTGCTCCTTGTTCCAGTCATTACATTCAAACCTTCTTAGTTTTCATTTCGCTTGTTCTGCAACCTTCATGTTTAATGAGGAGCTGATGAAAATATGGCAGAGAAGGTGGGATGAAGGTTTTAACAGGAAGATGGTTTTATAAAATTCAGAAGTTTATAGGAAGGAAAAGAAAGGGAAGAAGTAGGAAGGAGGAAAGAATAATAACAAGGTTAAGGTTCGGTCATACAGGACTTAATTATTCACTTTTTAAAATACAGAACTGGAAAGTGTGATTATTGTGAGAAGTTGGAAACAATAGAGCATGATATTTTAGAGTGCAATAAATGTGAAGATGAGAGAAGATACATGTTGAGCGAGTGTGAAGGTATTAAAGAAAGGTTTAATTTATCAGATTTTTGAGGAGGGATTTGGGGAGTAGACATATTCAAATAATTATTAGATTTCTTAAAAAAAACAAAGGTATTTCTTAGAATCTGAGTAGAGGAAGATGGGTGTGAATGTGCAAAGAATAATGAAGAGAGATTTATAAGCTATATGAAAGTAAAGTTATATAAGTAGGTGTGAGTGTGAGAGTGTGTTTAATCAGAAATATTATAGGGATTAGGTATGAAGTACATTATGTAGATCAGGGGTGCCCAAACATTTTCCCCGAGGGGGCCAAAATGAAAATCTATCCATGGCTGCGGGCCAAATGCAGTTATATAATACATGAAATACAAATACTTTTTAAAATAAAGTCCTTATTGTTAACGTTTAAGCTATGCAGTGGCCCACTTTTGTTTTAGTCTGTGCACTTGGAGAAACTCTGCCAAACGCTCAAGTAGCAAAGGCTCATGGGACATATCATAAATTGATAAAAAAAAAATGAGTTTTTGTGGCCTTATAAAGTGTGAAAATCTACATGTGGGGTTAAATCTGATCTAAATATTTCTTGTTGTTGTTTCATGTTTCGTGTTTAATCCTAATAAATCAAAGATATGTCAGCACCATGACTGAAAACTGCCTTCACTACAGCCCTTTACATAGTCATTTGACCAATGGAAATACTGTGTTTCTACCTGACAGGTTACAACCTTGTAGCTTTGGCAACTGTTGGTGGGCCAAATCAAATGGCTTGGCGGGCCAAAATTGGCCCGCGGGCCACACTTTGGGCTCCTCTGATATAGATCATCACGAACCACACTCCATACCAGTAAGTAGCGGTAATGCTACTGAAAGTTTGTTGCCAACCGCCAATAAAAACCAAGAAGAAGAAGAAGAAGCTTCATGTTTTGTTTTTTGTACTTTTTGCACCTCCTAATCCACATTTTTCCCATTAGTTTTTGAATTGCTTGACACCTTATTAATTTTTTTTCTCATTCAGTTTCTCTGCCCTTGTCTCAGTCTGAGTCCTTATCAGATTCATGTCACTGAGATATTTAACTTTTACTCTGATAAAGCTACATAATTATGGCTGTTTTGTGATCTAATCTGTCAGACATTTTTGCAACCTTTTTTAAAAAACGTCTTGATCAAAGCCCTTCAAGCTTTCTGAAAGACTTTCAAACATTTTGAACTTTTGGTTGCCTCTGCATCCATTTTTAGTCCGAGCATTTCCAGAGAAAGATACTTAAGGGTGCTCTCAGCCATCAATGTAGTATTTTTCATCCAAATGTTTTGGTTTCCTTGTTTATTTAGGTGACGTCAGAACATCATTTCTATGTCTCTCAACCATCTTTAAGTTTTCTCTGACGGTGGCTGCACAGCTAACACAAAGATAACACAGTTTAACAAACAATATTTTAGCTCTGCTGAGGTGATTCCCAAAGAGCAAGCTCAAAACTTAAAATAAACTCAAATAATTGGATGATGCATCGCTCAGGTTCTGCTTCAGGTCAGCCCTCAGGATGAAATGTTTATTTTATTTTAACGGTCTTTGTTTCACCGGAGGACAAAATCAGTGCGGTTTCGGCCTTTAAATGTTTCTGGACATGTCCAGACACTACTGGGAGCTTTATATTTTTATTTTATTTTATTTTTGAAAACCAATGTGTCAGACAACTTCCTCCAGTTCTTACCTTTAACTTGACACACTTACAAAAAAAATCCAAAAGCTTTTTAAGGAATTTCAGAGGTGATTCGTGACTAAATAAAAACATCAGAAGTTGACCAAAGCCAAATGAACGGAATAAACACCAAACAAAAACAAAAATATTAAAAAGCAAGTAAAATTAATATAAAGAAATCCAACATAGAAACATCAGCTCTAAAAGAATCTCAAACTCTGCCAGAATCAAAAGTCAAAAAGTAAAGATGGGTCTTATGGAAGAAAAACCGTCTTTAAAAGTCTCAGCAAAAAGATAAATAATTCCACAGGTTTGGGGTAAAAACTGGAAAAGCCCGATTCTTAGAAATAACACTTTGAAATGTTTTTCAACTGCTGTGGAAAGTATTTTTTTAACCTAAAGCTTCTTCTTCACTTATCCATTTTTCTCATTTTAAGCATCAGCTACATCACATGTTGTCACTGTCAGGTACTCAACTGGAACAACTAAAGTCCTGAGATAATCTTCGACAAACCTTCAGAAATTTAGAGTCTTTGATTAGGATTGTCTTTAAACACAATTTGGCGTTAACACTGAACAGTTTCCTGTGCTCTTCATTGTTTTAGTGTCATGTTGCTGACAAACAGGCTTCATCACAGTCTTCGGCCCCAGCTCTGGGCTTTGTTGCAAAAAAAAAAAATCTGAGTCAGAGAATTGTTTGCACCATGTGAGACCTGAAGTCTCTCTTCTCTTAAAATGACCACATGTCTCAACAGACTGGCCCGTTTGCTTCGGTTTCCTCGCCCAGAGTGTGAGCACAGAATMAAAAAAAAAAGGCTTATCATCAGAGGAAGTGAGGCACAGCTGGCCGGAGGAGCTGAGGGAAAATGTGTTTACAGACATGCTGGGATTTGTCTGAGGCGCTTAAGGAGCCGTGGAAGAAACACATGTAATTTCTTTTGCAATGAACAGGGTGTGTTCAGAAAACATATTCAAGTATAAACCATGCTGTTTAACACGCACAAATAATGTCCTTTTTATCGCCTGACAATGAAGGCGAGAAGTTAATATGATTTTTGATGTCTCTATGTGTGTTTGTATGACTCTTAGCAAAATATCTCATGAACTTGACACTTTTCATAAAACTCTCAGAAAGCAGAAAGAACGATTACAACGATTTAACTTTTGGAGTCACCTTTTTCAAGATGGCCGCCACGGCTAATTGACATTCCACAAAAACGGCTATAACTCTGTCAGATTTACAGATGATGAGCTCAAATTTGATGTGATAGCAGCCGAGAGTCATCCTCAACAGATTCTCCGAGCTCTGTCTTGCGAGAGCCTCACGTCATAACATGAGACTGTGCATAAAGTCATTTACAACCATGACTCTGCCTCTTCTCAATATTGTAGTTCAAATCTCTGGCAGGAAATGAGCGATCCTTCCAGCTTTTAATACAAGTGTGATTTGAGCGTTTAACAAACGGCAATGAATTACAAGTCTGCCTGTCTAAGTCGGTGGTTTTATTGTTTCGAATCTTAACAGAATCAGTTTCAAATGCAGCAGTTAAACAGATTTCACAGGCGAGAAGCTGCAAAGATCAAAACAGTGATATTTAATTAAAACAACTGAGTTTAATTAGAACAGAACTTCCCCTCTGTGGGAGCTGAAAACTCCCTTCCTGCTCCTTTGCAAGCCCTGCACGGCTGAGGGAAGAGCGTTGCTCAGATGTTGGTAAAGTGTTTTTATATTGAATTAGACACAGTCGGAGTCGTTTTGCGGCTGGGTAAATATGAACACTAAAACCAGCTTTATTGCTCCAGCTTTAGAGGCGAATTTACTGGAGCCATTTTTTTTTTCAGCTCACAATAATGAGGCAGGGATTAACATCTCAACTAGTGAGGATTCAGCCGAATCCATTTCTGCAAAGTAATCACGCGTGACAGCCCCACTTTATGAACAGCAAAAGGGAGGTTTTATATTATATTTTATAGGGCTGTTGTAGGTCTCAGTTACAGGTTAGTCAGTTTTTGTGGGTGAGATGGAGACAAGACTGTTGAAGGTGTGTAAACCTGAACATATACTATCCTCTAATGTATAAATGTGGTACTGCAGGGGATTGTCCAGATGAGAAAGAAATTAGCTGTAATGCTTCTTTGCAGCCACCACAGGGCAGTGTTGTATTTCATTTAAACTGTCATGATGCTATGAAAAAAAAAAACAGTCGCTGCTTTTCATTCAACTCAAAACCTAAAAAGAAGAAACAAAGGAATGATAATATTCCAATTTCTCAGCTTTAAATTGTATTGTCCACTATGAGGTCCCAAGTGTAAAGTAGGTAAAATGTTCAAAAAAATGAATACATTTTTATTATTTGGCTCACTTTTTGATTATTAAAATTCTTCCACTAACATT